TCGAGAGGGATGCACTGTCTTTTTCCCTATCCTTAGCTACAAAATGCGGGTGCTTGGGGGTGATTGGAGAGGCAGCCCTCCCTTCTGTTGGCCCTGCTCGTTCTGCAGTGACTAGGATGCTGGCTGGTATATCCCTGGTCTTTCTTTCCAAGTCACAAAACTTCGGTTTCGCCTTTAGAGTGGATGGATCTCTATCAAACAAAAATCAACCAAAGCCGAGAAGAGCTCATACTCCTTAGAGGGCACAGTTTTCTGCTACATCTGACTACCAAGAGAAGACCAGGTAGCGTGCAGTGCCCCGTGGTCGGCCTGAGACTGGGGCCTCCATCTTGGACCCTCCAGGGCCTCCTACCAACCCGAACTTTTTCTTCCTGCTCCTGCAAGACACCACTGTAATACAGAACGTTTCACCGGAAACTCTCAGAGAATCTTAATCTCAGGATTAAGCAAGGACTTCCGGGGTGGGGGTGGCTCCTGACCCAACAGAGAAGCTTCACGGAGGGCAATGCCAGAGGTCTTTCTCTCAGCCTTGGCTCTGGTCCGTGCCCTCCCTCTGTGAGCATCTCCTTTGCTCTTGGTCCCTTTTCCTCTCAGCCCCTGGCTGCATACAGGTAGCTTGCTGGACAGAGCCTGGCTACCTGATGATGTCCCTAATGGCCACTAATTACTTTAGGAATTGTGTCCTGGGACCTGGGTAGCATTGATGTGATTTTTGTTGTTAGGTTTTGACTTAGCAGGAATTTCAGAGACAATGTCCTAGAATCCAGCCCCCACTCCAGGAGTCCCAGTCCAGTCATTTTTACAAGAACAACAATTGGTCATTGACAGACAAATTCAAATCCTGACAGATGCCTGCCTGCTCTCCCACAGCCCAGACTATGCTGTTCTGAGTATTTCCTTGATACTGATTCCAGTAACTTTTTTTACATGATAGCAATAGCTTACACTGTTTGGTCAAGAGGACAAGAAAAAAAGACCATGGCAAGCTTGCCACTCAGGAGTCTGCTTCCGACTGTCTGCATTGGGTCAGGTGCCCCTCCAGCACTGGTTATAGGTAAGACAACATGCAAACACCTGTGTTAGTCACCATCCCAGCCCTGTTGACCAGGGGATTTAGATACTGATTATCAATTTTGCTGAAAGATAAGTGCAAGACCACGCCTCTAAGGCAGACTCAAGGAAAGGGCTTTGTGTGGTCGCAGGCTCCTGTAACTGTGGAAGGTGCCTGCCACAACCTCCTTGCGTCCTCCTGGAAGCCACTGTGGTATGAGTCCCTATGCACACTTATCCTAAAGGCCTAGCAGCAAGGAAAACAGAGCCTCAGGAAAGAGGACCATGTAGTGGCATAAAGGGCCACTCTTGGCAGGTACCCTGTAAACATCTCAGCCCTTTAGTCAGTCAACAAAATCAGCAACCCCTGCCTCAAACTGCAGTCTCAACACAGCTGTCACCTAGAGTTTTCTCTTTAACCGATGCTGCCTGGTACAGGTTAAGTCCTAAGTCACCATCTGTGCCATCTAAGAAAGGATTCATTGCTCTCCTCTGAGTCTGTGAGCTGCTATCCACCGACAAGAGCAGCAGCATAGCGGAGAGCTAGCTACTGTCCCCAGGGACCTCAGCCCAATGGGAAGTGGTCCCCAGGGATGCTGAAGTATTTATCATGGGCATATAGGAAACTCCTTCAGGCTCTTCCCATTTCACTTCTCAGTAAAGAGCTCAAAATAGAATGATACATCTAAATTGAATATGGCCATCATATACAATTTGCTGACATTTGTAAGATGACAGAAAACATTTCAGAGGGATTTCCTATTGCTGAGAGGCTTTGCCTCTCACCCCCTCATCCATCAGCTTTGTCCACGGGAGTCATTATGGGGAAAAGTGCTGGAATGAGTACAAGTGGGGGGCCAGCCTGGTTGTTCCACTCAGAACTTCTCCACATGATTCTCTGGTGCTGGGTCCCCAGATGCCAGCTTTCTTGGTACACTTGACCTTGGCTGTTTTTATGGGTGAAAGAACAGAGAGTTCTGCATTCTGAGACACTGCTGGTGAAGCTATGCAAACGAGGGGTAAATCTTACATGCCTGGGAGGTCTCTAAAATATCCTCAGAGAAACGAGTGGTGTTTGGCTGCTGGAGAAGAGGGCAGAGGGGCTTGCTAATGAACAGACATAATGACTCAGTTTTGCAAGATGAATACATTCTGAGACTGCAGTATAGCACTGAGCTTGGAGTTGACTGCTGGGCCACACAGTTAAAAATCTATTAGTGGGGTAGGTCCCACGAGTGTTCTAGCTGCAGTTAGATGATAAGGGGGTGCCTTTGATAATATTTTACAATTAATCACAGCCCCTTTGTAGGAGAAATAATGTACTTAAGTTCATCCCCTGGCGTTCAAGTCTTTGCAGATTACAATACATGCAGAGAACCTCTGGCCAGGTCAAAACTAAGTCATCTCGTGTAATTACAGGTACTTTCTTCAAGTCCTTCGTCAGAGATGTCAATAGCCAGCAAAGAGAGCATGTGTGCCCCACAAGGCAGCAAGGCTGTGCAGACCAAAGATGAAAACTTGCCCTGTCTTTGGTATGGAATGGCAGAGCTGAGATTCACACCTCTTTCTTTGACCACTTATCCCTGCCCCCCTACTTTCTGGGCTTTTTAGAAGCATTGCCCAAGTGCCTGGGAAAATCAGCTCTAAGTTCTCCAAACAAGAGTTAGCTCCTTTTGGCAGAGACTGCTCCAACTTGCTAGGTAGCAGGCAGCCTAGAGCAATGGCTCCGACATCAGGGGAGGACTCATGGTGAAGGAACACAAGGCCCTTCCAGGAGCACCTTGGAGATCTCATGCTGATCTCAGCCTTTCCTGTGGGGGCCTGTGTCTGTGAGGAGACAGCCTTCTTTTCTGCATGGAATGGTTTTCAAAGTAGCCAGTAAACATGCATAGCAAAGACTGCACAGCACCCTATCTGAGGCTCGGCAGGGTGTGCACTGACTTCAGTGTGCAGAACCAGGACCTCTCATTTCCATCCCAGTTCCACCAGTGCCTCTCAGATCCCCGAAGCCAGCCTTGCCAAATGGACTTGTGGGCTTCTAGCCACCATCTCCTCCAGATGTGTGTGAGTGGGCGTTGGCACTGGCACAGCCAGGGTTTGTTCATGGTCTTGTAGTCCGGGATCCCTCTGTTGATCCCAACAGCTTCTCACCATTTTCTTTCTCATACACCTACCCCAAGGAGCCAAGCAGCACAAGCTTCACTCAACCAGCAAGTGTACACTGAGCATGTATCTTACGCTAACAACAAAAAAAGCAAAAAAACTCCATTAGGAGGGGCCACGGGAGGCAGAGATGCAGGTGCCTTAGAGGCAAGTTGCAAGATTTTGAACATGTAGCATTTACCACCTGCCAGAGAAACTCCTCTTAATGAACAGTTTCCTGGAAATAGAAATGACTGTGGGGCAGCAGGTACAGCTAACTGTTTGAAGCAGTCGTCCAGGGTCCAAGCAAACTAGTAGAGACAGACATACCCCACCCACAGACACTGAAAAGCAACGAGAGGGACAGGGTCATGGTTAAGCCTCCCGATCTCCATATGTCAACTGTCACTGCTGACACCCTCTCTGCAAGAGTTGGCTTCTGGCAGTGGAGGAGCTCCCTGCACATCTGAAATCATGGTTTGGGTTTGACCTTGAGAATCTAGTTCCTTAAGTGCCAACATTCTGTCCTGGGAACCACTCCATCTCCTTATGCCCCGGTGAGGATCCATGGATGCTCAAGACAGAAATAGCATCTGAGGATTGGAGATACGAGCAGGGCAAGAATCACAGGGGAAGAACACAGGAGGCGGCAGCAGCAGGTGGACCCAGGCCACTCAGGGAGGAGACTCCTGGTAAGCCTGGCCTAGAGAGGAGAGGGTCTGCTTGTGTAACAGTGACCAGGAAGGAAGCTCAAAGTCCCTTCTGCAAGCTGGTGGACACCCTTCTCCTCTATCCTCTATCCATCTCCTGGCTTGAGATGCCTAGCAATGAGGTTCTCACTGCTGAGGACACTGAAGAAAAGGTCAAAGCAAGGCTGAACTCTAGGCTATTGGCCTCACCTTCAACCCTCAACTGGAGGTTAGTACAGCCTGAGGCACTCTTGCCACCTCCCTGGTTTTGGAGTTTCCTCCTGGGAAGACCAGTCCTAGCATGTGTGCCATGACTCCACCTATTGTCCAAAGTAGATACTCGGAGAAGACCCATGCTGAATTTCAAGAAGCCAGTCCAGCCTCTTACTCTTTCCGGGCAAGCTTTGACCACCATTTTCTAGACTGAAGGGTGCAGTCTTCTTTCCTTAAGAGCCTGGCTGGTAAGCCTCTCCAGCCAGAAGTGGATCAAGGGCAGGGGCTGCACTCAGGTGACTTGGGTTTGCCTTGTTCTCAAATTGTTTCTCTGTTTTAAGAACACTGAGAAGGCCTGCTGGCTGTCCTTGGCACCCACAGTC